CACTTCCACTTACCACTTCCTCAGTGTTAGACCTTTTACTAAGCATTCCATTTATCTTTGGGCATGCCTTATTTACAACTTATGTACAACTGTTATCACGCTCAACAACTGTCAACTTTATATAGAACATTTCAAGTGGAAGGTTATCATTTTGTTGTACTGTTTCTCAAAATCAAGTGTACAATAAACCTAATTTCTTACGTTCATGCATTTCTTCTACTAAAGATCACAATTATATTCTGTGCACAAAATATTGCACAAAATATTGTATCTTGCACAAAATATTTCCCAAACTTTATTGTCACCTTATGGAAGAATAAACTCACCACCCAGAGTGAGTAGGCATTTATCTTTCTCTCCAGGCACCCAGAGCTTAAGTGTGCTTTTTTAGTCACATTTTTGTATTATTTTATGATGTTGCTCGTAAAGGGCCCAGAGTCACTGAGGTGAGATAAATGAATAAATTACCTTGCTAGCCTTCATACTTCATCCCATCTAATAGAAGCTACGAGTGGATGTATGTAGAGGCTCTATAGAAGCAAAATGTTCCGTTTTGTCAATGGTTGATTAGCTTGATGACAGAGGATTTCTTTAAATGTGCTACTAACAAATTGTGCTTTCCAGGTGTGCCAGACTTATGAAACTGTCCCCTGCCGAGAATTGGGAATGGTGCTGAGGTAAGATATTTGGCACTATCGCTTTCTGACCCTTGGTTTTAGCAACCATGTTTAATATTTAAATCAAACCTGAAAGTTAGCACTAAGATCCAATCAATAAAACAATTGCTGGATTCATAGATCATACCAAGCTATGATTTTTAATTGTAGTTAATTGAATAAATCACAGTATCTGGGTTCATATACAACAATGACATAATAAACTATGGTTTAGAAATCATAATAGTTCACTAAGCCAAACCGATCCAAATGTTGTGTTTTGGCATACAATGTTAACTTAGTTCTATGTATTCTGCTCAACTTCTGAGATTTCAGTGGACATTGCTGAAAAGGGATATGAAAAAAAAACTACTTGGGTAAAAGTTCAACAAATCATAGAAACTGAGGTTGAAAAACTTTCTCAGGAGAATATAATTGGGCTAGGTACTACTATATTAGCTTGGCTGTTATGAGGTTGAAGAAGCAAGTTTATGAGAATTCCTTGAAAATCAAGTATACATTGTTCAGCATTTTGTTCTTGCAATCTATCTGTCAGATAGATTTGCCCTTTGTAAAGCTTGGACATTATATAAAAGAAGAAACGAATTTGGAAACGAATTTGAGAAAAAAGATGGGAAAGGAGTACTTAATATGTTTCTTGTATGTAAATTACCTCCTCCAAATTATAATTTTTGACCCCTTCCCAATGTAACTTCTTATGTGGTATTTTGAACTTAGTGGTGGGTGAGCTAAACAAAAACATTATAGGCAGGAAGACATTTCCTTCCAAAGTTTTGCTTCTCTGCTCAAAATTAGTGATACAGTATTTTTAACTATTTCCAGAAGATGTATAGGGTATATAGGGTTTATATCTTCACAACTGAACCTCTTTGCAATATCTCAACTTAATGCATTTCCATCAGCAAGTGGTCACAAGGAACTAGACATTTGAACTGGGCCCTCCTCAATTAATTTAGTACATATATCATACCAACTTTCCATTTCCATTCCTTTTCCTTAAAAAACCCCACCTGACATCAGATCTTCATCATAAGGTAATTTCCAGTACAGTATATAACCAGCTTCAGGGTGTTTTGATCTGCATGCCTTAGCACTAACTTTGCTGGCCAGACAAAAGTGTAGTCTAAACCATTCAAACAAAAACCTGCTCTACAAGATCTGGTTTCTCTGCCACTGTCCACTAACAGTTGTTGATGCACAGGCATTTTGATCTAGTTTCCTTTTCCCCTCTTTCCAACATTTTGTAACATCCTTCAGTTTACTAAAATATCTAGGTTTGGAAGAAGGATAAGATTTTGCATGTTGCTGGACCACCTGCATCATTGCCTCTGGGTGGAACTCTCTAGGTCTTTTATGTGTCTTTTGTGACTAATCAGTGTATTATTTTCCTAATGTGCTGTCCCCAACCTCATTATTTTCCCCTCCTTTTGTTTGAGTTTTTAACAATTCAATTCTTGAAGGATAGTTCTATTTTTTTTTCTTTTTTATATCAGGTATTTAAATGGACGGATTTTCATAATAGAAGTGCTTCCAAAGAGCCAGGCAGAAGTGGATGAGGTAGTACTAGTTGGAGATGTCATTGATGAGATAAATGGATCTTCACTAAGGAATGCATGCAATGGACAGGTATGGGAGGGAAAAATATCCTGATTCCTGGAGATGGAAGAGGGAAAGTTGGTGTACTGTCTGCTACTTTGACCTGAAAAGAAATGGAAGAGATGGTTGGGCATTGTTGCTATAGGAACTGTACTGAATAAAAACTCTTGGGTTTGACCTGGAGATCAAGATGAAAAGTCAAGGCGGGAGAGATGTAGAAAGATTGGGAAAGAAAACGTACCAGGTTTTTAAAATCCTTTTCTTTTCACTTTTATGAGATTTCTACTTAAGATTATTATTTAAGATTTCAGGAATGTAAATTTTGGATATTAGTGGTTTATTTAAGGACTAAAGAGTTAAAACAATACCCCACTATTAGCATACTTTCCCATCCCCTCCCCTTCCATATTATCCCTCCATAAGATGACCTTCTATGAGAGTCAACATAGAATGTTCAGATACAAACTTATATGTCTGTTGCATGGAGATCATGAAGACGAATGGGTGGCTTACTTGGAATAGTGATGCTTAGTGTCAATGCACAGATGACTATTTAGTCTACCTTATCTTCCTCAGAACAGATGATTCATTTCTACTCTTATCTCAGGAACAGTCTGCTGAGGCAGAAGGACCAAGACTGTTTTATACAGTATGTAAAAAAAATATGAGAAAAAAGAGAGAGGGCACCTGTCATAGCCACTTTGGAATAATGGTCCTTAGCATTACAAAACATAACAAATAACAATTAAAATGAAGTGTGGATAAAGAATGTGTCATCTCTAGAACTTTTTAAAGGAAGAGAAGATTTAAAAAAATCATCCAATCTTGTCTGAAGTACCTATCACTCTCAAATGGTTATGTACAATTCTGTAAAGCAAAAAAAAAATAAAATACATATAGAAGCTTGTCTTAGGAGGTATGATCACACCTTGTTGCAATTTGTTTTTACTAAGAGCCAATTTTAATTCTTTGAGTATAACTATATGTAGGCAAAACAGCATCTTCCCATTTTAAAAAATAGACAATGGTGGGACTGCGCTATTTGCAGAAGTATTAAAAACAAAAGTCTTTAGAAACAAAAACTATTATCAGGGAAGGACACTCTAAAACAGACCATCAAGGATATACAGTGGATGAATCCAGAATGCTGACAGATCCTGAGAAAGAAAATTGATGGCGAAAGGGAAAGGATGAAAAATGTGAATGAGCTTCCTGGAAGGTAATAGGAACTGAAGCACTCCACACCACAACATTTTACTGAAGAATCTGTTAGTGATCCATATATTATATTACAGAGCCAGTTTTGATGTAGTGTTGAAGGTGCTAGGCCTCTCTTAGTTATGAAAGCCAAGTGGGTGACTTTGAATCAGTCAATCTCTCTCAGCCTAACCCACCTCACAGAGTTATTGTTATTGGGGGGGGGGGGCAGGCAGATCTATTAATATGTTTTCCATCTTGACTTATACATGAAAAAGGTGGCATAAACTAATAATCCTTGATGCATGTTAAAAATGCACCAATTGGAAAAGAACACAAAGTATTAATATCTGAAAAATCTAAATTGAAAGACTATGGCATAAGCTGGCCATAGTAATCCCAGTGGTTATTGGCACACAGGTGCCATACCAAAAGATCTTGGATGCCACATAGAAGCTCTGTGTGTTGACAAAATTTTCACCTGTAGGTTATAAAGGGTCACATGGTTTGAATCCACATACAATCTATATTAATACATTACTGTACAACATCCTAGCTTATTGGGAAGAACGTAATGTGTCTGGATGTTGACACCAACTAACGAACTGGCAGCTGTGATTTCATGTTGGATATATAATAATACTCATCGGCCAATTGCAAAAGGCAGCTTTATTTGGAACAGCATAGATGCTGTGACAGTACCTTTCATATCATTAAATAACAATATCTGCCTATCCCAGGTCCTTGAGAAGGACTCAATAGGTGAATAAAAATGCCAAATCCAAGCTAAACATTTGTTGGCTGTGGGATTCACCATAATAGGAATATGCTAGTGAAGGACATGTTAACTCTTATGTGCTCTGTGATAATAACTGAGATACTGTGCTATGATTTCTAATCACTAGGAAAATACACAATAAGTTAAGCTTCACTGACATATCCTAGTAGTAATCAGAGTGACCATTTAGATCAGCTTTCCCTGGATCCAGATTTATTACAAGGACAGGGAATAACTAATCTAATGGATGATGTTAGGAGGCCCTTGCTGATCATCCATTTATCTGTTCATTGCAGGCTGGTTCAGTACTGCAGAAGCTGAAAGGCAAGCCACTAAGCTTTCGCCTAATCCGGTGGAAATGGCACGATGGAGGAATGTACAAGCCATTGTTGCCCTATCTAAAAGTTCTCAGAGAAAAAATCCCCAGCTTCCAACTCCAGCATGAGCACAAACCTAAAGAAGAGAATGAGGAGCGAAGTTTGCAAGGAGGCAGGTAGTGGCTGCTCAGGATTATTATGAAAACAAAAGTGTGGCAGATTTTCACAAGTCCTACCTTATCACCACTGGTTGGGTGCATAGGTCATTCCCCCAAATCTAACCCACCGATCCTTCAGCTGTTGCAGTTTGCAGTCTCTAGTCTGAGAGGCAATCCTGGAAGGGAGCCAGCCTCTTTCAAATGTCAGACAAAGGGTGGGGGACACACATACTTTTGAATATCCCTCCTGAAACAGAAGTCCAGCAGATCTCACAAACCTCATTTCTGGTGGCTACAGAAAACATAATAGAGTTATAGGTTGCCTGAACTGAATCATCAGCAGATTGTAGATGCATTAGGAGAGTGCTATGGGGAATCTTTTGTTTTACGAGTGGGTTTTCCCTATGGGTGCTATGACTCATGGTTTGGCTACCTGTTACAATAAAGGTAGTAGATTTGGAATAAAGGTGGAAAACAGTCTTTAATTGAGGTGGACCACTTATGGTCAGATTCAGATTTCTTTGTGCTATCATTTGCCGTAGGCAGAGCAAAGTAATGCCTTGTGGCGTTTGTAAGACCACATACACAATTTCTTTTGAGTGCAGAAACAGAATTAGATTTAGAGAAGACATTATAATATATGCATTGTTCTCTTATAAAGCTGCATCAACTGTGACAGGAAAGTCATAGAAGCATTAGTAAATGTTGGAGAATAGCCAGCTAATGGTCAAACCAGCCGAGGAAATTCTATTCTATTGCTTAAAACAATTTTTTTCAGCCTGTTCTCATACAAGCTGCTGCTTTAGCACCCTTATGGTGTAAAGGAGATCTTCCTCCTGGAAGTACAAGATTCAGTGGAAGGGAAATGTTTTGCATTGTGGAATGTGAATGGCACAGGTGTGTTTATATGGCTTATTCCCTATATAACGTATCCCAAACTGGGATAGATCAACTTCTTCCATTCACCATTTTCATCTATTATTATAGAGAAAACTAATAATGCAGGTTTGCATTTCTCAGTCACATGTGTGGCGTGCCATCTAGGTTTTACTCAGCTGCCTAGTATAAATTTGCTGGTGATGATTATAGCCCAGCTCTCTGGAAGTGTTGGGGATGCAGTTGTGAATCCTGGGAATTGCGAGTTGAATACTAAATAAATATATTTTTAGTGGCAATATACAAAATTAATTTAGTGGAACGCACCTCCCTTCCTGAAATAGGGACGAACTCCGTGAAAACTAGGTAGTAGAACAGAGCTGTCCATGTAGGTGCCTGCCCTGAAGCAAAAGAGTGGAGAATCTCAACCGATCATTTCCTGGACTTCAGAGATTTGAGTTCATATCTCAGCAATAAAAACAATATTTTGGATTACTTAATACTCTCTTTCTCTCATTATTTGAGTATATGTCTATGATTCAGGCTGGGCAAAGATCCGCTCCCATAATATCAGACACCACTCATCTTTTAACAGTTTTTAGTAGTCATCCACTATATCGTTTTTGCTGTTCTTATTATTTAATAGTTATTATCATCTGTATTTATATGTTTTACCTTAACTGATCAATCAATATAAGAGGAGTCCTATTAACATATATATGTCCTTCTTAGAAAAACAGGGCTTCGGGTTTCTGTCTTGATGATACTAAGACCATTTGATTGCATGATTAATGAGACATGATGCCTACTTAGTAGTAGAACTACTCTTCCTCTGCTGTCAGCAAGGAGTACTGAAACGAGAGGCTGGGGAAACAAGCGTAGCTCTTCAGTCCTAACTTCTGTGAAGGCAAAGAATTTCTCTTTGCTTTTGGAACTTTTTCACACGCTGCATCTTGATTGTGAAAATAAAGAAACTGTACACAGATTTCTTGAACTAACTGTTTAATCTCATTTCTCCATAGACTCCTGTACAATTTGCGGTACTTAGGCCAGGCCAATGTAGGGAAGGTGAGACTATGTTTCTAAAGAGAAAAAGGGGTTTGTTCAGTTTTCAGTAGTACTCTGCATTTTTCTCACTTTTTTTTTCTTTTCATCTCTTGGTTTCTTTTCCAGTATGGAGGCAAAGAGATACTAGACGTAGGCATACCCATGGTGTTAGATAAGCATTTACCACAGCAGGTAAGATTCATGCTGGGAATAAGAGATGAATGTTTATCAAACTACTTTCTTTTCCTCTTAAATCATTATTTTAAATTACGCTTTTTAAATAAAGAAGCAGATTGAATGTTGATCACTACAGCCCATTGTGATGGCAGTCTTGATAATTTAATTAATAAAGCCAATAGGAATTTAGGTGATAGGGTTATTTGAAATGAGAAAACAGCACAGGTGATAAGGCTTATATTTTAGATAAAAACCTATTTCTGTGCAACACATTCTGTAATCCTTAGGTCTCTGAGTTAAAGACAGAATGTGGCTGAACTTTTGTTTTTAATAGGAAATGCTTTGAGAAGTGCCATTTAAGTCATGGCAGGTATCAGAATTTTGTAGATTAGAACTAGTAGAAATCCACTGTTTGAGGCAGATATAGACAAATGCCCATTTTGCAACACATTTACTGACTGAACACCTCAATGACCTTTTTTTTCCATTGAGAAATAGTTCATGAAGGCATGAAAATATTTAAGCCGATAGGGGGAAGTTGGTCCCACTGAAGCTCAGTTATGGATTCTATTCTGTTGCATGATGGTGAGTTCATCCCAATACATTTAGCAACTCATCTTCATGCAAGTGAATTTCTTATAGCTGCAGATCAAAAAAAAAGTCCTTTCATTCAGCAATGATATAATGTCATACAGTCGTTGAATAAAACATCATAAGTCGAGGACCATCTGCACAATAAAATAGAATTAGCTCATCAGGTTGTGATTCTTACTTGGTTTACCCCATGAGGCTGACCATATACTTTAAAAGCCTCTGTCATGGTTGCAAGCAAGATGGCTAATCCCCTCATCTCCCAGTGCTCAAACCTGCAGAAAATTGCTGGCCTGTGATCTCTCACACAGCGAGCAGCCATCTGGAACACATGTGGCGATTGCTCATCTTCTCTTTATCTGGAGGAGGAGGAGGAGGTTCTCAGGAACCGGTCTAGTCACAAGTTGTTTGACCTTAGCCATGATCATCTATTCTACTTTTGGAGAGCTGACTTCAGTTTGCCATACTTCTCCCAGAAGTGTGAGGAGGAGAAGAAAAAGGTCTTATGAGATGAATAGGAGAAACCTGGTGTCCCTCTCCCCTCTTCTCCTACAAAGCCGTGCAATCTCCCACCTGCTGATATTTCCAATTTCTTTCCTCCGTTTATATAACCATGCAGCTGCTGCCATATTTGAATCCAGTGCAGCATACCCAACCTGGCCCTCTCCCCATCTTCACCTAACTTTCTTCACTATGCACTTTGCCCCTCTCTTTGATTTTTTTTTAACCATTAGACACTGTCATCTGGCTGCCCCTCTTTTTTCCATAATCTTCCCAGCACCGTATCTCTCCTTTCCTGCTGCTTGTCATCCCTGAACACATCTTCCAGAATGTGTATGTTATCAGGTTCATGCCTGGAAAAAACATCTGGGTTTGAGACTGGACACAGACTGCTCAGTCCTGGCTGGTCTAGGGCAGTACATGCATGGAATGTTTTGCATAGAGCTAGCTCTCAAATCACAACTGTGATGGTGCCTGCCCATTACGGCTGTAAGTTGTGATGGTCTTAAAGCGAATCATCATGTGACCAAACCCAATTTTACAGCCTTTTTTTGTGGTGGTCATTAAGAGAACACAGCAGTTGTTAAGTGAACACAGTGGTTGTAAAGTGAATTCCTCAGTCCTAAAGTGGATGTTGCAGTCATAAAGCAAATGTTGGGGTTGTTAAATGAGCCCATTGTTCGCTATGGGATATTCTTGCCCCAAATTAGAAGTAAACACCACTTTTGGCCAAACATGTTGTAAGTTGTGGTTATGTGACCGTGGGATGCTGCAGACAGCCATAAATACAGGCTGGTTGCCAAGCACTCAAAATGAAGTTATGTGACTCGGGGGTGGGGAGGACTGCCATTAGAACTTTGGAACTGGATTGTAAGTATTTTCTGGGGGGGTGGTTGTCTGTCATGATTTGAAATATTTGCTAAGAGACCCATTGCAAGTTGAGGACTACCTGTGTGTCCCTGTTTTCGTTCAGTATTCCTTTTTTCCCTGGTTTTGAAATGTTCTAAGAAACATAAATCTAGGTCACTCTGGCAATGTTACACAGCCAAATCCATCAAATATATGTAATCTTGAAGATTTTTCTGCTATCAGAAAGAACTGCAGAACTCTTAACAAGTAGAATATGTTTACATTATCCCAGCCAGAGTTTATCATGGTGGAAATGTACCCAAAACATCTAAAGATGCTAAATTGCCTGTTCCTGGTTTACTTGTAATTTAAGTGATGGCTGGCTTTGGCAGCCAGTGTTAAGCTGGACTGGCTTGTTCAACTTGTCTCACCCAAATATTATAGCTATGGCAATGCAAGTTGCTCACTTGCCTGTGCGTTTTTGTAATGATCTAGATAACAAATCAACACAAACATTCAATTTTTGCTCTGCCATCTTAGAGATATGGCAGAAATGTGATTAGGTGCCTATTAACACCACTGAGCAGGCATAAAAAAGACATTTTTCCAGTCTACGTGTTGCTCTTGTTTAGCTGAAATATTAATAAATAATAGCTCTCTCGGGTGCATCAGAATGGTTTTTAAAGGCCTAATGGGAACATTTTGCTCTATATCAGGTCGAAAGGTAAAGTGAAGCCAATAGGCCAGGGGTAGGCAACCTTGGCTCTTTTATGACTCGTGGACTTCAACTCCCAGAATTCCTGAGCCAGCTTGGCTCAGCTTGGAAACCTCTCCCTTTCCCCTCAGCATGGCTGGCTCAGGAATTCTGGGAGTTGAAGTCCACGAGTCATAAAAGAGCCAAGGTTGCCTACCCCTGCAATAGGCCAAACTTCATCACTTTCTTTGACTAAGGTTGCCATGGTTGAATATGTAATAACTGAAACTACTATACATTGCATATACCAGTAGATAGAACTGTTTAAAGTCATACTGTTGCATTAATGAAACGTTGAAAGGATTGGTTTTAATTTTTTTTCCAGATACCTGCAGAAATGATTGCATTAGCTCTTTAAATGGTAAATTCACTGATCTGTAAAGTGATTCAGTTGAAGCTATGTTGCTATGATGTTGTCTGGGTGGAAGGAAAAAACAGGAAAAGAAAATTGGAAACACAGCAGGTCCAATTTTACGTTTCTGTTAGGGAACTTTGTCACTTACTACCATTATTAACAGTTGTAATATTATTTCATCAGGAAATCTTATTTGATGTCAAAGAAACTGAAGTAATTATTCAACACAAAACAACTTCAAAGGTTAGAATGTTTGTTTGCTGACTGTGCTTGATCATGCCCTCTCAATAATTTATTGCATTTACTTTTTATAATCTGGGCAATGCACACTTAAAATAGACACTGGAAGTGTTTCTAAGGGTTGTTATTTTTAATGTTAGATCTAATCTTTATTTTGTTTTGATTAATATTCAATAAAAATAATTCCAAAAAATGAACTTTTGACCAATGCCTTAACTGAGAATTGTTGCCATTTTCAGGTTCTTTTCCGTTATTCTTATACAGACATTTCCTGCGTGGGACGCCGTCTGGATAGCAATAATTTCTTTGCTTTTTGTAGCTTGTAAGTTTCATTTTGAAAAACCATCTATACACATGGTGACATTTCAGGATCATATTTACCAGTCCCAGTAATCATGTAGTAGTGGTGGCGGTGGTAGTAATTTTTAGTGTAGGCAGTATCCGTCAATTGCATTCAAATGCTTCAGTGTGTCCTTTACTAACAATATAGGAATCTTAAGGAATACCTTATTAGACTTTGTGAATCATGCTGATTAGCATGTTCTACCAAAGTTTGTGTGATTAAATATTCCCTTCCACATAGAATGTTATCTTGAATACATTGGATTGTTGATAAACTAGCTTATATCCAAGATGAATTAGGTTACCTGCATGAAAGAACCAAGTAATCCATTTTATTGATAGCCTGGTTTGTCAGTTAGACCAGTGGTTCTCAACCTTTTTAATGCCGCGACCCCCAACTGGTCGTAAGTCGAGGACTAAACCGGTCGTAAGTCGAGGACTACCCAACCGGTTGTAAGTCGGGGACTTTCCCTGCCCGGGAACGCCACACATGCGTGGTTCCGCCCCCTGCGCCTGCCGAGGCATAGCTGGCAAGCGGCAGAGACGGAGCAGGCCAACCACCAGCTGGCCCAGCTCAAGGGAGGCAAGGGACCCGCCGGAAAAGGGGAAAAAAATGGCGGACAGCCTTGCTTGGCAACCCCCGTGAAATGGTCGAACGACCCCAAATGGGGTCGCGACCCATAGGTTGAGAACCACTGAGTTAGACCATTAGAGGAATGCTATATGTATGGGCGATGAATCATATGCTATCTTAAATGTACTGCTTATCTAAAGTTACCATCTTTACTTTATAGAGCTTCACCCGACTCTCCAGAAGATAGCACTTTTGATTGCCTAGTTTTTGAATCAAATTCTGAAGAGGAAAGTGAGGAAATCATCAAACGGATTGGTAAGGAATACGTTTTGGAATACACGTTGTAGTAAAGACTATTGTATTCTATTAAGGTTTCTGTATTACTCTATACTTCAGCTGCATTTTCTTATATCTCTTCTGCATTAGGCATTCTCCAGAATATGTGGGTTGGGATGGGCAGTCCTGTTGTATTAATGAAATTCTGCTAAGTCGACCCAGTTATGGCCCAAATATATACAGTATAAAGCTCATAGTTCTTTGATATCACTTTGGTTAGGCTTTCTAACTAATCCATTCTTACATTTCAGTTTCCTCAATAAAGGGGTAATGGCTTAAGAAATAAAAAAGTAGACCAAGGCAGCATAGTAACATAATACAGCCCTATAATATTTGATGTCTGAAGATTTTGAAACTTGTATCAATTTGTTTCATTCACTTTTGGACTAAACATCCCTAGAACTAAAATCCAAAATGTCCTTTAGATAGATAAGGTTCTTAAACAATAGCACTTAGCATGACTTATATACCACTTCACAGTGCTTTAAAGCCCTAAGCGGTTTACAGAGTCAGCCCATTGCCCCCAACAATCTGGCTCCTCATTTTACTGACCTAGGAAGGATGGAAGGCTGAGTCAACCTTGAGCCCTTGAGACTCAAACTGCCAAACTGCTGGCAGCCAGAAGTAGCTGCAGTACTGCATTCTAACCACTGCGCCACCACGCAGTGCTAGCAACTACACATCTAGCATTATTAAAGTATTTATGAATATAGCAATAAGCTATCTGTGATGTATCCAAAAAATAATTCCGGACATGACAAACTGTGTTTGTTTCTTTAGCTGCTGGATTTAAACATACAGAGTGGTTTGTCTGACAGATGTGATGCTCTGCCGCTGGGCTTCTATCTACTTTTGGAGCCTCAATGGCCTGCTAAAGTTTAATATCAATCAGTGATATCTTGATGGGTCAACTCTTGGATTATGGAGTCGCTTGGCACAGATTAAAATTCTGTCCAGATGTAATTGTTCTAGATAAATGGAAATGCTTTTTTCAAATGTTTACATTGTCAATTTTCAAAATGGAATAAAATCAAGCTGAAGCAATAGATTGTTTGCATAAGGTAGCGTATCTTCGCCGAAAACAAGACCAGTTTGATGGAACAAGTCAAATAACTGAGCAGTTTCTCAGCAGGCAACTTTGCAATTTTCATTAAATTTAAAATACCCATTATGGATCACCCAACAAGTAGGGCAGAATCTTAAAACAATCTGTAAACTTATATTCTCAAACAATGGGTTGAAATACCTGGAACAGCTTATTGTTTTAAGAGGCAGCACAGAAAGCTGGACTCCTAGTTTCATTTCCATGAGTCACCTAATTAGTCTAGAAACAAGGCTGAAATAATTTTGTAAGCTAAGAACTTGAGTAGCATTTCCTAGTTTCTATATTATTCTGAAAACATAAACAGACAAAATCAGAAAGATTATTCACTGACTTGTTACATAATTGCTGGAAACTATTACTGCGATTGGGGATAAATACAAAGCATAAACATGCTTCAACTTGATTTAAGCATAAACCCAAGTAGAAATGCTACGTTTCCCACAACAATGACAGGACTCATGTGAATGTAAAACATTTAATTTAAAAATGTTGACACTACAATATATAAAATAGCTATTATAAATGCACATAGTGTATTCTATAGCTGCCAGGTTTACGTTTTTAGGAAACTGTAAGTTACACTGTGGTTAAGACTTGTATTTTATCCCTCAGAAAGTCCACATTCTGTCACAGTGATGTATGGTCAGACTTAACAGCCCCAATTTGTTAAACACTTGAATCAAGTTATAACCAGTTTTATTGCAAAAGGACCCTGTACACATTTATATCAATTCTAGTACCTTACAATTTTAGCTACCCAACAAGTCATTAACATACAGAAACATGCATGAAAAGCAAGAAAGATCACCCATCCCTTCTGCATATTAGCAACTTGTCACTATTGAGCAACAGGGCTCACATCACTGAGTTTTATGTGAACAGTCACTGTTAGCATTCATCCTGAGTGAAAGATGGAATGACTTAAGTACAAATGTAACATATTATAAACAATTTCATACAAAAAAAGTCACAAATTGAAACCAAAGTATTTTACAGAATTTACTACAAAACACCATAAAAACTGCTTCCTTTTTAAGCCCTCTCTCCCCGTATCCTACGAGCCAACTGGATGTCTTTGGGCATAATGGTAACTCTCTTGGCATGGATGGCACAGAGATTTGTGTCTTCAAACAGACCCACCAGATAGGCTTCACTAGCCTCCTATATGAAAGATAAAAAAGATATTGGTTAGACATTAACCTATAGGGACACATTATTCCTTTCCCCACATAATAGAACAGCAGTACTCGAATAGGTTTATACCTGCAGTGCACCAATGGCTGCGCTCTGGAACCTTAAGTCTGTCTTGAAATCTTGGGCAATCTCCCTTACGAGTCTCTGAAATGGAAGTTTGCGAATCAAAAGTTCTGTTGACTTTTGGTAACGGCGAATCTCACGCAGTGCCACAGTACCAGGTCTGAAGATGAAAGAAAAAAGTAAGGCAATCTGTTCATAGAATATAACAATTCCAGGAAGTTTCTAAGTAGACGTCTTTCAAAACAGTTTCAACGAAGTAAAAAAAACACAAAAATACACTACAGACTGGGCACCGACAACAGCTCTCAAGACATTTATAGTTAAAGGCTTAACACAAAAATCACAGTAACAGAAGCTAACTTTGTTACAACATACACCACTCCCTTCTAATCCTTTTATTTCCAGAGATTAGCTTGGCCGTTGTCCTAAAATACACATTCCAGGATTGTCGCCTTATTACCTGTAGCGATGAGGTTTCTTGACTCCACCAGTAGAGGGGGCGCTTTTCCTCGCAGCTTTAGTAGCCAGCTGTTTACGTGGAGCTTTGCCACCAGTGGATTTACGGGCAGTCTGCTTGGTACGGGCCATTTTCCTTTACTCTTCTGAAAGAGAAAATAAATGCGATGGACGACGCGGCAGCTTTCTCAAGATTCCCGAACGTCGATCCGGACTAAGCAGGCTTTCCGGCACTTCAGCGTCCACCCATCTATTCGTGATTCGTGCTCATCTTGCCCGAGGCGGAAGCGCTTTGGCGGGAGGGGGAACGGCAGCGGCAGATGTCGGGAGTCGTCCTCCGTGCGGGCACAGGGCCAAGGAGGTTCAGCCCGCGCGGCGCAACGCCCGGAACCGCTCTCTCCTGCTTGCCCACGCGCGATGCTGGAGAGGGAGCCCGACTTCGTTCCCAGCACCGATAACCACCGCCGACATTAAGTCTCCGGCCCTCCCTTAGCAGCGGACACAGAACAAAGCGGCCTTCCACGTCTTCCTCCACCCATTTGTCACAAAATTTGCTCCCCAAAGCACGGGAACCCTTTCTTTTCCCCAGTCTCATTGTCCCCTCTCGCTCCCAGCCGAAACTCACCTCTTTTAGGAACAAATCCTTTTTAAAAAACACTTCCGCTGTAAGTACACAAATAGTACGCACTGCACACCCTCCGAGGAAACCTTAACTGTCTCCTCCCTCTGCTGGGACGCTGCCTTTATAGAGGGAGGGAACCTTAAACGTCATGACATCACAATACATACACGCAACGCGCGGAGCTATTGGCATCTACTTTCGCCGGCGCCATGACGTTAACTGATACAAAGACAGTTTCCCCGCATCCCGCACGCGATTGGATGAAAGCTCGAAACCCGATTGGTTGTTAAAGTTGCACGCTGATTGGCTATCGTGGGCTGGAGCAAACCAATTACAACTGCAGTGAAGCTGGTGATTCTGATTGGACAATAGAAAACATGGTTTGGATCCTACTTTTTGTTGCAAAGCTCTACAATGGAAAGTCAATGGGAAAGAAAAGCAGCCCGTTCTGAGTGTCCTGGACTCAATGGGGAGGGCAAATTAGAGAAAACACAGCCTGGCAAATACGAAGGGAATGTGAAATGGTAGCAGAGGTAGGAGGACGTAGTTGACTATACCTGACGTTCATTTGCCATCATATCAAATTTCATTTTTCAAAGTTTCTTTATGTTTACCTATAAATAAGGAACATTTATAAAGTTCAGTTATCAACAGTACACAAACCACAATTTTTCATTTCATTTGCCTAATACTTTTTAACATAACAACATATACCAAAGTTTCTTAATTCATTTTTAAAGAAATAACATGAAACATAGAACTGGTTTATATGATATAAATATTTTATTAGCAAAACGAACAGACTATTATCTAGTTTTCATGATCAAATAACCATGTATAATGGCATGCTGCATATTTACAAAATGTAAAATGACAAAAAAACTGATGTCAGTTTGATTACAAAGAATCTAGATTCTAGAATGACAGTTGGCTGTTGCACGTAAAGTACAACATTGATAGTGTATTTTAGATATAAAATGCATACCAAGTTCAATTTGACAAGTTTGGTCTAGCGGGTAAGGCACCAGCTAGAAACCGGGAGACTATGGATTCTAGTTCCACCTTAACCATGAAAGCTGTCTGGATGATTTTGGACCTGTCATATATAAATACATGCATGTAACTGTCTATTAGAACTCAAAACTATATTTTTAAAAATGTAATTATGTAGCATTTATGGATCCTATGGCTAATTTCTAACCACGTACAGAACCTGGGTACAAATTAATAATTATGTTATTTTTAAATTAGGTTAACAAAGCAGAAAAGAAACTACTAGTATGCTTGTCAATGAATTCACAATTTTATTTGTTTTGGCATTATTACTAAACTGAGAATGCTTCTCCACAAAACATATTTGTAATGCACAATCAGCCAGATTTTTTAAAAAACAACAATAGATACTGTTGTACAATCAGATTTGAAGTTAGAAAAAAATGGATATAATAATCTTATTTCCATTCACATACAGAATATAAATATACTGCCAATATACTGTCAGTTTACAAAGTACTAAATATGGTATAAAACAATACCAACCATAATTACATTTTTAAATGTAGATAAATACAATTAATTTTAAGCAACATACATTATTATAGAACCAGCACAGGCAACCTATAACCTTCCAGATGCTCTCATGAATTATCTATTCTTTATTTATAGGACCATTTTAATATTTCATTTTGCCATGATAAATCTGTTTGATCAATCAGTGTATTGTAAGATATATAATGAATAGGAGTTCTTTATCCCATCTAATTAAAATTTTAAACCCTTGCCATTTCTGCAGTGTTTTTTGGTTAAATGTGACTATTTAGCAACAGGTGAATTAAATAGTGGAACATCTGGGCAATGTTTGTAAGAAAGAGATGGGGGTTTCCACTATAACCAATTTAATTTGTAACAATGTTAAAATTCTTATTCGGATAAAACAATGTTCTATCCAGCCAAACCATAATCCTATGCTCATAGATCCCAACAACACTCAACAAAAGAATGTTACATGCCTGCTTCATTCATCCTCCACCACTGATCTTTGAGTACAATAGAAAGTAATTTGATTTTTTTAAATAATGAGATAATCATCATGGAGAAGAGTACTAATCAGTTTGTGATGTCCCATATGGCTCCAAATAATTATGCATGCCCTTCTGCTGTTTCACGAAATACCTTGGTAGCTGTTGTGAATTTGTACTTTGGTTGTTCCACAAATATAGTAAATAAGAAGCTAACAGGAGAGTTTACTAGTTGTTGTGATGGTAGTTGTTATGTTCTATCTATATCAGGAATTATTGTTCGACTAGATTTGACTGGTGTGCCAATTGTGTTCATATTTATGATGAAAGAACCTGGAAATGGTACTCATGCTCTCATCATCAGAGGATAGATACTGCAATATCCTCTGCCTGGGACTATCTCTGAAAACTGAAATTACTGCAAAATCCAGTTAGCTATGTACTTGGCAGTCAGAACTGCTTCAAACATATCACATCAATAATATAGATGCTGCATTGGTTGCCAATAGATTTCCAAATACGGTTCATTGGAAATCTTCTACAGTTTGGCTCATAGGTGCATTCAAAATTGATTTCTCTAGGCAGAACCCATTGCAGCCAACATGCTCATTTCAACAGCAAAAATTATTTATCTCCACCGTGGAAGGTGAGATAACTGGAGGTTCACGGGCAACATTTCTTACGTTACAAAACTGACAAAAACATTATCAGTAAAGCAATAAAAATGGAATAAAAGGGTCCTTTGGTACTTAAGTTACCTATGTTGATAGTATCCAACATTGTTTTATCTTTTTAAATACTGTATGACAATGTTTCTTACTGACTTTTTTTCTCATTTGGATTTATGAATGATTATTGGTTTCTTACTATGTATTGTTCTAATTACATTATAAATCACAGTAAATGTACAATTCATCAGTATACAATAGAAATTCAGTAAATAAATATCTACAGTGTTTCCATGATCCTAGATAATAGTCAAATAACAGCACTATTGCCTAGGTTTACTTATCAAACAAACTACAATTGTTTTACAGTATATATAACTTGCTAATAATAATACTCTGATTCACACATAATGGCCAAAAGTAGTTTACAAACAATAGTGGCTGGCTCCAAACAAATACTATGGTTTAGCATTATATGTGAACAATTAATTCCTAGGCTCCAATAAAGATTAAATAGGATGAGATTAAGTATGATTATCAGCTTTCCTTAACCTAATGATCTGGAGAACTACACTGAAGAAAGCTTGACTGTGATAGTTAACTTAAAGAATACAGTATATTTAAATTATTAAAGATGCTAAAGAACTAAGAAATAATATCAAAAGTCTTGCTTAGATGTTAGAAAATGGTTCAATCCTAAAAATGTTTGCTTTAGAAACAACCAAACAAAATATCTATTTAAGGGGAAAATACATTAATGTCCATGAAATAAAACATCACAGTCTGAGATCTCAAATAAATGCATAATTTAAACTCAATACGTATACTAGGACTTACTTTCAAAGAACACAGATGGAACTTGGCAGTATACAGATAACATGGTATTACATGCTTATTGGAAAAGGGTAAATGTTTTGACTCATGCCTTAACTATAGGGACAAAGTAAGAATTGTAAAGTATTTTATATGTAAAGTATAACCATATGATTAAATGCCATCAAGTCATTGTTGACTCTGCAACCATACAGATTTTTCTGTGAATAATCATATGAGTAATCAAATACTGTCATGACATGTTACAACAAAGATGAAGTATTGTTGTGGCAGAAATTTGTCAAGGTATGGCTAACTTATATTATTATCAGCAAGTCTTGTGATACTTACTTTTATTATGGCAAAATACTTGATATATCAGAATCCAGTATTAGATATATCAATTTTAACAACTCAAATTTATCAAATTAAACTTTTGCTTTAGGATCAACAATCCCTCTATTGTTTTTATAGTACCACATAATTTGTAGACTTGTGAGATAATTTTGAGGGCGCTGTCTCTCTGTGTTGGAATACCAATCTATTATCCAAAGAAAAGATCACACCTAGCCTGTTTTTTTTCTTTTTAATAAATTGGACTTGTCCTTAATTTGCAATTATTTTAGTATGACAGCCTATCCATCATCGTTTAGCATAACCACCTACGGTACATTGCACTCTTAATTCACACTCAGTAGGAAACCTTACAGCATCTAGCGACATTTACTTCCAAATTAATAATGTTAACATCGCGAAATAGAAATAATTGGGGGGGGGAGAGATGTAATTAAACGATCCATAGCTGGCGAAACAGCAACCCTGCTTACGTTTTCTCGAGGGCAATCCATGGACGGATTGCTTCTAACTACTACTCCTATAAATCCCTGCGCTATTACAATATCCGGGACAGCAAGCGCAGAGCCCCTCTGTACTTGTAGTTTCAAGGGCCGGAAGCCTAGTAGAAGAAAAGGGGGATTTCCCGCCATCACCGGGACTACAAGCCCCAGCATGCTTTGGGTAACCCGGGGCGGTAATGGCGGCGGCAGCGCCTGCGCATTGCGGTCTCCGTGCGGACCGCGCAGAGTGAATAATAAAGCTCTCCTCCTCGGTGGTAGCGGGCGGCGGAGGAGGGAGCGGAGGGCAGGAGCATGTCGAAGGGCCCGGTAGGGACCGGGCCTCCTGCGACCGGGCCGGTGGCGCCCGCCAGCGCGCTCCAAGCGCAGCCCGAGAAGCCGCAGCACTACACGTACGTAGCGAGAACACCCGCAGCCGCTTCTTACTGCTGCTGCTCCCGCCGCCGCCGCTGCCGCTGCCGCCGCACCCCTCCGCCCGGCGCCCGCCCGCGCGCCACACACGCCTGACGTCAGCGGGCAGCGTGCGGCACGCGCGCACGGAAACAAACGGCCCGCCCGGAACCGGCTGAAACCGGTTGTGGTCGGCCTGGGCCGGAGGAATTTCGGCTGTGGGAGGGGGCAGGGAAGGAGCGGACACCCCTTCGCGCTTTTGGTGCGGGCGGGCGCGCGCGCACCTAACCGCCCCATAAACACAAACACACCCCACAGGCAAGAGGCGCGCAGTGCCCATGATGCGTTGCGACGCGTTCGCCCTACGGGTCCTCTGCTCCTCCGTTGGTCTTTGGGGGGGTGGGGGGGTGTCCG